TTACAAAATCACAAAACTGTCTATTGCTGAGTGATATAAATCCATTTATTTGCTGTAAATCATCGCTGAGGTTTGAAAAAAATAACTCAAAACGAAGATTAATCTAAACGACTATCTTCTTCATGTACCATGTCCTTTCAGAACGTTGGTTACCATCATAGCTATTTTTATTTTATTCACTCCCACCCTAAATAGCATGCTTGTATCTACACCATACCAGTCTCGCAAGTTCTTCATCCATGAGGTTCTTCTTCGTCCTGGACTGCGTTTGCCTGCTATTTTTCCTTGCATGATGTTTTGTAGCAATCTATATTTGGGACCTCTCATTACATGTCCGAAATATTCCAGCTTTCTCTGCTTGATGCTTTTTATGATCTCAGTAGTCTTGCTGAGACGTTCTAGTATTGTGGAGTTACGAATCTTCTCCACCCAGGAAACTTTTAAAATTCTTCTATAGCACCACATTTCGAAAGCCTCAAGACGATTTAGATCGATTTTATTCACAGTCCAGGACTTGATAGCATAAAGTAAGACCGAGAACACGTAGCAGCGAAGTAGGCTGATCCTTAATGCCAAAACTAAACGACTATATACATGATTAATATCGAATCTAAGTGAATTATCTACGTCATCATCATAATCAGTTAGCGCTACAGCACTTCGTGAACCCTGCCCTACTTCAAAACATTCTTTCCTTCTTTCCTGTCGAGTGTGTCTTCTCCATCCTCTTACTCCAATCTATCCTTTCTTCTTTTTCCGACCGAGCTATTTAGCATGGTTATTTTAAAAGGATTACTTTCATCCATCCGCCTAACGTGACTAACCAATCTTAGACAGTTTATTTTGATGGTTTTTTACGATATCTGCATCATCAAAAGTCTATGGAATTCGAAATTGATATAAACAGATTGGAAGCTTTCGAAATGTGGCTTTATCGCCGTATCCTAAAAATACCATGGACAGCGAAAATCACAAATATAGATGTCCTTTAAAAAATAAACCAAGAACGCCAACTTTTCGAAACCATCAAGAAAAGGAAAACGGCGTATCTAGGTCACTTCATACGAAATGAAAAATACCAGTTCCTCCAACTTATAATCGAGGGTAAAATTGAAGGTAAGAGAGGAATGGGACGCAAGAAAATGTCCTGGCTCCGAAACATAAGGCAATGGACAGGGATTAACGACATACAATCTCTGATACATATTGCAAGAAATAGAGAATTAATGGAAAATGTGATCGCTAACATCCATTAGTGGATTTGCATCTGAAGAAGAAGAAGAATTCGAAATATGGGGAAACCATATATGGCGTTAACTTCGCCATGGTATGGTCCTCAATACTTTTCTTTCAAAGATTCGTAGTAACTCATATCGGTTCGTCTTTGCCCATGTTATGTACTTATTACATTTTATTATGTGTTCTCTTTTTAGTGAAGATACACATATTTAAATTTTTGGCAAATACAAGGAGATGTTTCAGCAGCGCATGAGCTTAAAATTAAAGTATTGATGTCTATATCAAATATCAGAGCTAGAAGTACAAACACTGACCCAAAAGTTTAGAGTGGGGAACTACTACTTTGAAGTTGTAAACAAATTCATATACCTAGACTCCCTCATGGGGAGAAGAGATATGGAATGAGGAAAAGATCCCTAGTGACTACAAAGTTTTTACTTATATACTAAATAAACGACTCCAACAACTAACTAAAAATATTGTCAGGGAATACCAAACCGGTTTCCGACAACTGACCAGCTATTCATAGTGAAACAAATTATAATCAATTCGTGGGAATACTACATTGACGTCCACAACATATTTATAGATTTTAAACAGACATACGACTCAAATAATAGACAAAAAGATGTCAAATATTGGATAGCTTTAACATATCCCAAAAATACATCCGACTAGTAAAAGCAACACTGGATTCGTCAACAGCAACTGTCAGAGTACAAAATGAGCTCACTGAAAATTTTTCAATAGTCAATGGATTAAAACAAGGAGACGGGCTGGCATCGACAGTATTCAACCTGACTCTTGAATATGTGATAAGACAGCTGGATATATAAAAAAGTAATCTCCTTACAAATAAATAAATACAGATTGCCGCCTATGCCGATGACATTAGCATCATATCTCGTAGAACAGAAGAGGCGGCAGAAATACATTCACAATTAAAAACAGGGGCAAAAGAGATCGGACTAGAAATAAATATTCAAAAGACAAAAAACTAACACAGGTAAGAGCTAGGGGAAACAGACGCACACTTTAATTAGAGGACGGTATTGAAACCGTAAAAAGTTTCACATATCTGGGAGTTATATTAAACACAGATAGAACAGAAGAACCAGAAATTTAAAGAAGAATAGTAAAGGGAAACAAAGTTTACTTTCACTCGCTCATGTGTTCCACTCCAAAAACACACTGGAGATCGAAAATTAGGGTCTACAAAACTATTATCAGACCAATAGTATATTATGGATGCGAGTGATGGGTGATGACAAAAAACACAAAACGAAAGCTGGAAGTCTTTGAAAGAAAAGTCCTAAGAAAGATATTTGAACCCATTACCGAAAATGGAGTATGGGGATCCAGGTACAACCATGAACTTTACCAACTGTTCAAAGAGGCACCGATATCAGAATTCGTTAAACTTCAAAAACTTCGATGGGCTGGTCATATAGTGAGCATGGAGAATAAAAGATTTCCATAAAGAGCCCTAGATAGTAAAATACATGGTGTAAGACCAAAAGGAAGGCCACGGAAAAGATGGGAGGATGAAATGGCAGTGGTCGGGCAAAATTTGCTAGACGTGAGAACTTGAAGTAGGTCGGCGCGGGACCGACAAGGTTGGAGGCATAGTTTGGACGAGGCCAAGGCTCGATTTTGTCTGTAGCGCCATTAAAGAGAGAGAAAGAGAGAGAGAGACTCTCTCATGATCAACGGAAAAAATAACAGTTAGAATGTTATTAGCGAACATGTGTTACCTTGGATTAAGCAACCACCCAATTTGCAGAAACAAGTAAAAAAAACAAATTTTAGAGAGATCTTAAAGACTATTTGGTTCAGTCTATGAAAGCTGTATTTGAAGATCTGAAGATGGCAGTATAACTTTAGGCTCTATGAAAAATAAAAAAAAATGGCTAGGTAGACTAAAATGGACTTCTCAGATATACTCTAGTATAAATGTCTGTAGGAAATAAAGATGACTGAGGCATAAAGACCAGTTTGGACCAGTCCAAACGACTGGTCCAAACATAACACTCGATGAAATGGAAAGAGCTATAAAGCTATCTAAGAATAGGAAAGCAACCCGTCCAGATGAAATTCCAAGCGAAATAATCAAAGTACTCGACGATAAGGGTAAACAGTCTCTTGTAAGCATCTTCAATAAAATATACGAAACAGGACATATACCACCGGACTGACTACTGTCAACATTTGTAATGACACCGAAAAAAATTAATGCCAAACAGTGTAGCGATCATTGCACTATCAGTCTGATGAGTCATGTACTGAAAAGTTTCTTAAGAATACTGCACTCGAGAATTTACAACAAAATAGAAGTACAACTAAGTTTGCTTTCAGTTCAATTTGTTTTCAGAAACAACCTTGGAGTCAGAGAAGCACTCTTCAGTTTGCAGGTCATGGTTCAAAGATGTAGGGATATCGAGCAATTTGTATATGTGTGTTTTATCGACTTCGAAAAGGCCTTTGACCGAGTAGATCATGACTAGGTGTCTTGCAACAGGTGGAAATTGATGACCGAGACCTCCGTATTATCAAAAATTTGTATTGGCATCAATGTGCAAACATACGAATTGGACACAACACGATGGAAGCAGCGAAAATACGACGTGGAGTGAGGCAATGATGTATTATATCGTCTCTACTTTTTAATATCTACTCCGAATTTATTTTCAAAGAAGCCTTAATTGAAGATACAGGCATTCAAATCAAAGACAAAACAATCTCAGATATGCAGACGACGATAACTGGGATATAAAGAAATAAGAATACGCATTGAAAAAGCCAGAGCCGCCTTCTATAAATTAAAGACAATTCTAATTAATAGAGATATTACGTTAAACCTTAAGATCAGATTAATACGCTGCTACATATTCTCCACATTGCTGAATGGTATGGAGAGCTGGACCCTTACAGAGACATTAATGGAAAAATTGGAGGCTTTGAAATGTACATTTATCGACGAGTATTGCAGATAAGTGGAGTTGATCAAATAAGAAATGAAATAGTTTTACATCGAATGAAAAAGGGCACAGAAATAACAAAAACGATAAAAATTCGAAAGTTACAATATTTCGATCACGTAATGAGACATCCAGAGAGGTATAACCTTCTACACCTCATAATACAGGAGTAAGATCGCCTGAAGGAGAGGCCCAGGCCGAAGAAGAACATCTTGGCTCCGAAATCTCCGAGAATGGTATCAAGAGACCACCGCTAATTTATTTAGAGCCGCCGTAAACAAAGTTATTATTGCCAATATGATCGAAAACGTTCGATAATCGGACCGGGTACTGAAAGAAGAAAAAGAGGCATAAAGATGACTTAACAAGAACATGAGGGAGATAGGAGAAGCAAACTGACAACGACTGACGAAACAGATTAAGGAAGGTTGAAGCTAGGGCCATAGCACCTATAGTACCTAACATTGATATTATATTATTTTTTAAATGCGTAATTATCCTAAACTAAAACTATTTTAAAATAGCTGGTTTTAGATTTAAAATTTGATAATAAGAACAAGTGGCTTAATTATCGTTAATATAATAAAAAGAAAATTAAAAACTTGTTAAAATTAACTTAAGCATGGTTATCAATTATTTGTGTTCAAAACGGAATTATACTTATATTTTATTGGAATAAACAACAGACACCTTGTATTAAATTAGAATTTCCAAGTCTGATGTGAATCCTCCTAAATACTCGGCAACGCTGCTTATCTATACGATTGCTTAAATTAAAAATCCAGTTTTGATTGACAAAGCGAATGCATGGACGTAAGTTCGTCTTGTTTTTGTAGTGATTATGTTTTGAAAAAGAATGACTAAAAGGCGTAGTTGTTCACTAAAATAACTCTTTTGTAGTGGCTTCGGTAAATAAGTGAAAAATACAGTGCAAGTGTTACAATAGGAATAAAAGTTGTGCGTTTATAAACAATATGGAGGTATTTGTTTAATTCCAAGAACTGTGTGTTATTTTCTGTTTGGCGAAACGAAGTTTTTACATAGTAAGTATTTCTATTTATATAGCTTATCAAGTTTTCTGTATTTTTCGAGGGGATCGCAAAAGTTTTATATTAAAGAAACTTAGTTTGTTTTGTTTCTTTTACAGTGAATTAAAATTATTCTTAATTTTGTTGGATATTAAAGAAGTAGTAGCATTACTTCCGTTTGGTTATTTAATGGTATTTATGTATATATAAAATTATGCGTTATATAGCACTCCAAGAAATAAATGCACCAAGTAGAAATAAAATTAACATCATTTCGCAAATATTTTGATTCTTCGCTGCGCGTGAAATAATTTACAATCATTTTTTTGAGAATTTAAATTTACTTAAATTTACTTTACTTAGTTGAAACTTGTAGTTTTCATGGTCGGGAAGCTCTAAAAACAGGTTTTGTGTTATTCCTACTGGTTTAAAAATATTATTGTAGAACAGGTTCTGTCTCCAGAAAATCAACAGAAAAGTCGTCCAAAAATGAATGTATACACATACAGCGGTGGATCCAGAAATTTTTGTCGGGGGGATCATGGGTCTTGAGGGTGATTTTGATATAGGATTTACATTTTTGCACCTTTACGATTGATATGATTTGTGCTTCATGTAAGGTATATCATTTTCTCAATAATTATTTTAAGCGATATATTAAACTAATGAAAAGCTATTAAAACTCAAATACCATACGGGCCCAAAGAAGGGTAGGTACAACATTAAGAGATCTTAAACATAAACCAAAAAAAAAAAAAAAAAATTAAACCCACATACCTACTCTATGACAGTAAAATCAAGTGTACAAGACTATTAAACCAAAGGTAAGTTATTAAAATATAAATACTGAAAAATCAAGGACTGTCAATTATTTAAACTAGATATTTTAAAGATAATTAATTTAAACCCACCCCTATGGCTACAAAATCAAGAACAAACCAATTATAAATAAGTATAAACAAAAGTTAATAAATTAAGGTAAATGTACCAGTATTTGACATCTTAAGAATAAAAAATACAAATTTTGGATATAAACCACGCATTTATTTGAAAAACAAAAACTTTAACAAAACTTAGGTCATATTATGATGCTTCTATAATAAATAATGTGTTTTTTACCATGTAGTTGACACTAAAAAAAAGTTGTTGTCACCATTGCTTGTCACAATAAAGATCTAGTAGTTGACACTGAAACATTTTTATCCACTAACATCTAATGGCTTGCTAAATTCATATTTTAGTCCATCACCTGCTACTGTCATATTTGGGAAATCAAGCTTTTCTCTTATTTGTTTAAAATCAATGACACTCACATCATCTGAATTTAGTTTGAAGCAAGTTTTTTCCGAACAAAAGAAAAATAAAGGACGCCGCGAAACAAGCAGCTAAATTAAAATGGAAATGGGCTGGACACAACTAACGTCTCGAAGATGGTAGATGGAACAAAGAACTCGGAAAACTGGCGACCGTACGATGCGAAGAGACCAAGAGGAAGACCTCAAATGCGCTGGAGCGACGATATCAAAAGAGTCGCAGGACCAATGTGGAAACGCCTAGCACACAACAGAGATGAATGACGAGAAATGGGAGAGGCCTTTATTCGACAATTCGGATAGAAAAAGGGCTATAAAAAAAAAAGTTTTTTTCATATTACATCAAATCATCGCTACTACTTTAGCTTCAGTTTTTGAAATAACTTCCTGAATAACGACAAATTTATGAACTCTTTTTCTCCTGGAAACTCAACTAATAGATAGTCACTTTGGTTTTTTCAGAATTATCCACTGCGTTTCTTAATTAAAACTTATATCGCTAATATGATCTATGCTGTACCTGATTCAACCCATTCCTCATCAGACTCTGAATCAGAGGAAATATCGTATGCTGTTTATGTTTTTCTTTAGTTTTTTTTGCTTGTCTTGCTCTCTTCATGTTCTACTTAGCTTTTTCCTTTTTCTCATGATACTCCTGCCACTGTCTGGAGGAGGCCACTGATGGTATTTTTTCTCTCTTCTGTTTTTTTCCTTTTGGTAGTTTTGGCTCATGCCAATGTAGAACTATTTTAAAAGGAGAAGGTATTATAATATTTGAGACATTTGGCGAAGGGGCTTGCGTCGTTACTGACGGGTTCTCAATTTCTGAAGTACTAGGTGGATCAATGTCACGTGAACTCGATGGACCTTGAAAGTAAAGTGTTGACTAAATCACATTGTCATGTGTCATATGTACATCAGATGTGGTGGTCACGTCATATATTTCATCTGCAGAATTGTTGGGGATTTCTTCTAGCTGTTTTTTCTGTTTATTATTTTCTTTACTCTTACAGTCATTGTCTTGTTAAGTTTCTTCTCTCTCCTCTTTCGTTTTCTTGTTTTGTAATGTAGCACATTTTGCCTGATAATCATAGGTAATTGTTTTATAAAGACAAAAAAGTAACACATCTGCTTTATCTTTATTCCATTTTTTTAATTGGAGACTTGTGGTTGTCAATTCGCCATTGCTGTACTTTAGTTTTTCATTCCTCTTTAAGAGTACGAAAAACGGCAACGTCCATGGGCTGTATTAAATGGGTTGCGTTTGGAAAAAGGGCCGTCAGAATTATGCCGTTATCTCACAAAACCTGCTAATGCAACGTGAGATGTGAAGAATGTACGTCAATAAAAAGTATATAACTAATTCGCCAGTTCGGGGAATACTCATAGCAATTTCCTTCGGAATCCTGTCATACCTTAACACTACCATAGACGGTGGTACCTGACCAGCTGCCTTATCGTAACCAAGACGGTCCGGCATTCCTTCTCGTTACTGTTAACTTGGTGGTACACAGTTTTGTCTCCTTTCCGAGGTAGGACTTTCCCTCCTTTCGGGTTTAAGAAAAATGCAGATTTATCACTATTAAAAATTCTGGAAGTTTCCTCTAGAATGGACTCGTGTTGATTTTTATCTAAGTATTAGCGTACTTCTTTAAACCATGTTTGGATATTTTATTTTGTTACTGAAGAACTGCTTACAGTAATATTTTAAGCTGTTCGCTTCGCTACTTCTTTGTGTCGTTTTAGAAAGCTTTCATACCATCTCCTTCTTGGCCTATTGTTTGTGAATGGATTATTACGTTTTAACTGTACGATTAGATGTTGAACACTGTCCAGTAAAGTATCTTTTCCAACAGGAAATCCGGCTTTAGCTATCGAAATCCATTGGACTACAATTTTTTCTTCATCATGTGCTAAAGTTGGATCCGGTCCCATTCTTCAACATCGTGGCGTAATTCCTTTAACCTTATATGTCAGAGTGGCACGAGGAACTTTAAACTTCTTTGCTGCCTTTGCAATACAGCTACTATAGCGGCCTCCATTTGTTCTACAGAATAAGACAACACCTGATCCTTGATTGGCGGCATGATAAAACCTAGAAAGGAACCAATCATTGACACTCATTTGATGCAGTAACTGACACGTGTCAACTAGTAGTGGGAATCGTTTTAAACATTTCAAAAGTATTTTTCCATAAACAGAATTGTGTATTGAATATAAGTAATACAAAATATGCATGATACGAAGTAAACCGCGCTTGTCCCAGTAGATCAGCATATACACGTCTGAAAACGATGGCTGCCATATTGTGAAATTTAATACCTGAAACTAATAATTTTGCCACTGAATTATAGATGGCATACTTAATATATCACTCATTTATTTTGAAAATGTTTACACAAAAGGATTTTCTTATTTTCGGATGTAAAGTCATGTATGTGTTAACTACCGGAATTGTGTTAATTATCGGTACGTTTACCTTACTAAAATATAAACTTTCTGTTAAATATAAATTATTTTTAAGTTGTTATTGTCACTTAGGGAGGTACCTCTTCAACCGGATGGGTTAGTGAATAATTTTAGCTCACCATGAATATTTTACATGATTTGTATACTTTGTACAAATTACATACTATATGTTTTCTGTATTAGAGTGTAAAGGCTGAAACATTGGCTATATTTTCGACTTAAATTTCAAAGATTGAGAAATATTCTTCCATTCATAATCAAATCATGAGCGACAAACTACTTCACAAAAATTAAGGTTGAGTTTACCGAAAGTACAAGCTGAATATAGCCGCAAATGTATTAGGAAGAACAAGTAGATGAATCGAAATGTGGCAAAATTGAAAATTCAAGTTTAAGTCAAAGATTCAGTAAAATATATTCAAATTTTTATTCATTTCTTTATGCAAATGTCCAATTGTTGTATTAATGAATTAAAAGTGTTCATGTGTGTGCAAAAAATGTCAAAGACTAATTAAATTACTACTAAACTAGTAAAATTTTATACTAGTTTTTATTTCTTCCGATTTAGAATTTCCACTTAAAACTGCAGATTAGTTTTCTTTTATTAGGCAAGAGTGGAATGAACTATTTACGTAGTATAATCCCTATCACTGGCAAATTTGAAAGGAAATTCCATAATTGGTCTATCATCACTTATCATCATACGATTTAACCATTTAATCAAGATGTGTCATTCACTTAAAATTAAATTGGTTTTATAAACGAGCGGTTTACTCCTAAATCCTAAAAGACGATTAGAAACGGAATATACCGACTATTTTTTTGCATTTCTACGGCATCAAACCTTTTTTATTCGATTCTATAATTTTTTCAAGTTAAAAATAATTTTTTTCTAAATTTTTCCGAATGGGCAGGAAATTGTTATAAACAAATTAATAGCTTAATTACTATTTAAATGGGAATAAGTCACAATTAAAGGTTAAAGTACGTTTATTGACGTTTCAATTTCCACTTCGGAAGTCGAAATTGAAACGTCAATAAACGTACTTTAACCTTTAATTGTGGCTTATTCCCATTTAAATAGTAATTAATTTAAAATGCCACAAGAAAATCGCTTCGAGTAAAATTTTTTTAGTCGTATCTCATCGAAGTAAATACTTTTTCTCTTTTTGTAATTTTTCAAAAAATAAAAAAAACTTTATTCATGTTTAAAGATTTTTTAACAAGTTATCA